TAGTGAATACAGACGCCTTTTCTACTCATATAGTCAGTTCAGTTACTACTGCGTTCAAACTGTTGGAATTGGATATCTATCTAGTCAGCAGTAGCTTTTCCATTCTATACTAACTTCTTACAGTATGGCGTCTCTGAATACATACTTGTATCACCGGACGATCAAGTGGACGACGCCATCATGACGGAGGATCAGAAAAATCTCGTTGTCAGTGCATTTCGAGTCGCGCAGCACAGCGTGGATTGGTTTGTATCCACTTTTTATATCTCTTTCAGTGAAATCTCTTTTTTCAGTGGCAAAATCGGTAATCTTTTTCTTTGACATTCTTGCCTTTTCAGTGAAGTGCCGATGTTTATCCAATTTGGTCATCTTGATAGGCAACTCTTCTTTGGCACAGCTTGCAATAAATCGGTGGTTACACATTTTGGAGTGAGTTTTCCTTCAACGTATCTTATTTTCAGAGGAGTTCTTCTATTCTAGGGATCTCATCTTCGTCGAGCTCAGTTACGGCATCATCATTTGAGTGGGTTGCTGGAATTGTTCAGAGAGCACGTTGTGAGTTTATTTTCTATTCTTCTTGATCGACTTTTTTTCTGATTCACCTCGTTAAGAAATGTCCAATTTCACTGCTTGATGCGGACGATATTCGAGTATCTGTGCAATTTGACTATAATGTGAAAGTGGGTGCTACTGGCAAGCCGGGAACTGGCACTCGGGCAAAAGGAGCCACAGTAATTATTTATGCCATACACATTACCATCTAGTCCTTGTTTCCTACCCATTCACGGTGTATGGGCGAACATTGCAGAGGGATAGTGACTCCATTTTCTGCCCACTGTGCTAATTTTCCCTTCTATATATGAACCGCTCTTCAATTTTTTAATCTTGTCGTCTTAGATTACAAATTCGCCTCAGTATATCGATGATGCTTGCGAAATTCTTGAATGTTATACTTTACCTTTTGGAAGCAAGAATGAGCCTTTGAGGTAGGAGGTTTTTCCTTGAAAAAAGTTTTCCTGCCTGAGTATCGACTTCAGTGAGTTTAATCTCATTGCTTCCTGGCCTAATATGAAGGAGGAAATGATCAATGAAAATGAGGTAGAACATTATTAGTTTTCTTTGCTTTGTTTATTATTCATCATTTTCTAGTATCACAGTGATCTCGATCTACTTAGCGCATTCAACTGGGCTGGATCAGTCTACTTCCAGTTTACAGAGACATTACTTAGTGAGTACTCAGGTGTTTTCTCGCTAGTTTTTCGAGTGCATGCTCTTTATGGAAAT